ACTGCTTGAAGAGCATTATATTATGCTCCTTGACCGGGAGCATTTTTTCCTCGTCATGAAGGTGGTGTTCTGGGAAGTCCAGTCGCTGTCCTGAGTGCGGTGTTCTGTGCTGTCTGTAGCTTTATCCACCGCGTCCTACTAGTCCCCGGTGACCACACTGGTGCTGGGTAGTTTAAAACCGGCCGGCCTATTGCCTTGTATGTTGCCAGCAACGTTTCTTTGTCTTTGCCCCAAGTACTGCCGGCTAGCGACTTGAGGACCTTGTTGCGGCTCTGTACTTTATTGACAATAGCGGTTGCGTGCGCAGAGAAGGAGAGCAGGCTGTCGAATGTTACTCCGAGTATTTTGGGGTTATTCACCGTCGGAATTGATGTATCATCGACGTGAATTCCCAGCGGTAGCCTGACCTCCTTGGTCCAGGTGGTGAACAAGCTCGCTTCACTTTGCAGTGAAGAAGCGAGAAAGCTCGGAGAGATACCCGTTTACTTTCTAACACAAGTCATCAATTCCATTCCCAGTCGCCATGATCGAGCAATCGTCGGCGTAAGAGACAATCGAGACTCCCTATGGTGGTTGGGGCAGCTTTGAAATATAAAAGTTGAACAGTAGCGGGGAACGAACACCACCCTGTGGAACCCCCTGTTTTATTTTTCTGAGTTTACTCGATTTGTCTCTAAACATTACCGACGAGTGTCGACCACTCAGATAATTTGGCGACCACCGTTTGAGCCTCTGTGGGAGAGAGGAGCCTCTATATCTTCTAGTAGCGCAGAATGGCTGACGGTGTCAAACGCCTTTGACAAGTCCAACGCTACTAGAATCGTTCTCTCACAGGGACGGTTACGGTTAAGGCCACGAGTTATCTGAGTATTTATGGCGTTAAGTGCTGTTGTTGTACTGTGCACTTTACGGAAACCATGCTCATTCTTCGCTGGGGTCAGGTGGTTCGTGAAATACGGGAGCAGCAAGGCCTCGAGTGTCTTCGCTACCGGGGAAAGGAGTGTTATCGGCCGATACGAATATCCTTTGTTGGCAGGTTTACCCGGTTTGAGAGTGGGACCACTCTTCCCACCTTCCAGATGTCTGGGATGATGAGAGTGGCCATAGACAAATTGAGGACCTCCGTTAGGTACGCTACTCACGCAGGACCCAAATTTTTCAGCATCAGCATGCATATTCCGTCGGGACCCATGGCTTTGGAGGCTTTCGCCTTCCCAATGGCCACCTGAACTTCACCGCAAGTTAAAGCAAGGGGGGCAAGACAAGTTGTTGGCAGTTTGTGCAGCCTTCTGGTCACTCGACGCTTGGCTTTGTCCACCGGAGGATGCAGTATGAACTGCCGGCTAAAATAGCTCGCGCATCGCTCCGGGTCTGACGAAGCATGGTCGCCGAAAGAAATTTCGACCCTATCGTCGTGCTTCGTCGGATTGGACAGTGACCTCACGGTTGGCCAAAGCTTACTCACACCAGAGGTGAAGTTACGGGTCTTCAGATGCTCTTCCCACTTCCGCTTATGTACGTTCACTAGTTGCCGAATCTCCGCGTTCAGATCCCTGATGCGGGGATCTCCGGGATCGGCCTGACGAAGGCTAGAACAGCCGCTTCAGCAGGGAAATTTGGACGTGGATCCATTATGCATCCTGCCGGTACGAAGCGAGCTGCAGCGGCAGTGACAACCCTGCGGAACTTACGTTCACCAATGTGGACGCCGGTTGGTGTGGGGAGTGCAGCGAAGGTGCTCTCAGTAAATTCCGCGAAGCCTTTCCAATCAGCTTTAGAAAAGTTGATATAGGTCCGGTGTTCCGCGGAAGCAAAGTCGGTTGGTTTATCGATCGAGATGCCTATAGGCAGATGGTCTGATGCCAAAGTCAGCATAGGTCGCCATGATACGCTGTTTATCAGACCAGCGCTGACTATTGTTATGTCTGATGAGCTGCAGCAGCTTGTCATAATCCTGGTGGGTGCGTCGTCGTTTATTGTGCAGAATATCGAATCGTCTATCTGCTCAGCCAAGTCTGTTCCCCTACGATCGTTTGACAGGCTTGAGTGCCAAAGATCGTGGTGCGCATTGAAGTCATCTACAACCATACGGGTTTCACCTCTGAGGAGCGCATCTATGTCAGGGTGATATCCTGCCGGGCAGCAAGTGACAGGGGTTATATATACGTTAAATATTTCGAGCTCAAAATCTCCTGACCGTATAGCAATGCCCTGACATTCTAGGGTGGTAAGCAAAAACAGCCCTTTACGCGTAAAAGCACATTTAGCGCATTTAGCTCTAAATGCTACTCTAAATGTACATTTTTGTATTAAGAATCTAAATGCTAAATGTAACCCTGTGGCAACTTTGGTATTCTGCGTTCCGTTTCCTTTCGATCAATCTTCGAAATTTACGATTATATCTATTCTACATTTCGATCATAGTTCCGTTTTTCTAAGTTGCAAATTTGTTGACGGAGAACGTTTCGATTGTTATTTTCGTGGGTTTAAATAATAAAATTTTATAAAAAAATTAAGTAAAATATACTGTGCATGATTGCGAGTCATCGTAAATGAGTTTTTTCGAGTTTTACTCCTCTGCGACCTTGTGCACCACCTGGACGAAGGAGGTCAGACTACCGCTGGGAATTCACGTCGATGATACACCGATTCCGACGGTGAATAACCCCAAAATACTTGGAGTAACCTTCGACAGTCTGCTCTCCTTCTCTGTGCACGCAACCGCTATTGTCAACAAAGTACAGATCCGCAACAAGGTCCTCAGGTCACTAGCTGGCAGTACTTGGCGCAAAGATAAAGAAACGTTGCTGGCAACATACAAGGCAATTGGCCGGCCGGTTTTAAATTACGCAGCACCAGTGTGGTCGCCGGGGACTAGTAGGACGCAGTGGATGAAGCTGCAGACAACTCAGAACTCCGCACTACGGACAGCTACTGGATGCCTTCTGATATTGCCTGAACACCACCTACTCGACGAGGCGAAATTGCTCCCTGTCAAGGAGCATAACACCATGCTCTGCAGGCAGTTCCTTGTCGGGAGCCATAGACGTGGTCACCCGAATGGCAACTCTACGAACTGACGGACGAAGTCCAGAGGTTCATTAAGCAACCTCTGGACCCGTCAGCATATCGACAGGCCCTGAACGGCATACACAGGGGGTCAGTCTCGAGTTATATAGACTCTAGAGTTGTGGATGCCGTTCTAGGCACACAACCACCGGACGTAGACGAGACAGAGCTTCATCTGCCTCGGGAGACAAGAACCACAATAGCCCGACTTCGCTCTGGATACTGCAGCAGGTTAAACTCATACCTGAGCAGACTAAACGCGGATGTGCCGAATGAGCGTCCGGCATGCGGAGAGACACCTCATGACTCGAAGCATCTTTGTCCCTGTGGACCGACCCCATAGAGGCTGCACGCTTCTTAGGACTGCTGTAAGTGGAACTTGACGACAACGACTGAGATATTAACTGATCTGGGCAGGGTTTCTGTAGCCGCTACAACAACAAGTTTCGTATCATATTAGGTTTGTATAGTAACTTCTCCAGTAAAAGATTGCACCGAGAGCGTAAAAACAAAATAGAGCGTAATATTGAGAAGAAAAAACTAGCAGAAGTTATTGAACACAAAACTAGTAAAAACTTGCAAGTGAACAGTTGTTACTATTTATAAATCAGTTTTAAACTCTGCTTTACACAGCACTTACAGCACTTAAACAGTCCAGTAACATCATTTATATTTTGATTTTCACTCATTTTACTTTTGTTTACGCTTAACCAATTCAACAAATGGCAGCTTTTGACATTCATTCTTCTTCTTCTTCTGCTAGCTAATTTCTAGGTGCAATCCCGTATATATGGGACTAAAACTAGTAAAACTGTCAAAAAATCAAAATTCGCTCAGAGGGAGAGAGTAACATTGAAAAGTGGATCGCTTTTTAGTAAAAAATGGTAACTTCTGTCAACTTCAACATAACCTCAGAATTTTGGTTGTAAATTCTTGCTTATTTTGTATGTCAACACACTCAGCTCACACATGTAAATAACCAAAAACACTTTCAAATTCATTAGAATCCACTAAAATAAGTAATTAAATACTTTGTTTAGGCCACTAGCCTAAACCAAATTTTGAAAGGGTGAACCACCCTAATGTTCATATGCATACACACCGATATGTACATACATACGAATATGAACATATAAATAAGGAGCGTTCCTTATCTCCCAGAAATAGTCAGAAAAAGTCCGAAGTAGTCAGATTTAGTCCAAAAAGCGTTCCTTAACTCGGAAATGACAGCAAAAATGAGAGAGCAACAGTCAGTGAGAGTGACTCTCATCAGTCCGAAGTAGTCAGATTTAGTCAGAAGAATTTTTTCTGGCAAAATCCTGAAAAGTGTCAAACTCAACTGAATTTAAATTAACGGAAATTAATGAATACGCTAAAAGTGAGAATAATCTAAAAAGTAAAAGAAATGAATTGAAATTGGAAGGAGGCAAAAAATAATTGATATAGCAAGTGTTTATTGTGCTTGTGCTTGTGTGAATGTGTTTTGTACATACATTTCTGTTCTTATTTGACGTTAGTTTTGTTGTTGCCATTCTTTGGACTAAAAATTTGGTTTTTTGCGTTCCTTTACTTTTCCTGTTATTCTCTTTTAGTGAGCGCATTTTGCTTACGCTCTGGCATTTTGACACTTTTCAGATTTTAGTCCAAAAAGATAAGGAATGAACCTAATAATTGCATTATTTTTCCCGCCAATTAGTATAACGAATTAGCCAAATTTTCCCTCAAAACAGCTCGCTGTTTGAGGGTTCGGCTCAATCCGTCAACAAACTGCGCGGTCATTCCAGTTTTCACTTTATC